TTTTTTTTTTTTTTTTTTTGTTTTTATCCTAGGATAGTCTTGATGTTTAGCACGCTTATTGTAAAGTAACGTTTTTGCTTTTTATTTTCTTTGTTTCTGACCTTTGAATAGTCTATCTTTACGAAAGGAAAAAGGAATTGCCATTATCAGTTCAGTTTTATCATAGTAAATCTTTTACGGCTTGCCTGTGTTTGCTTATTTTTCGTCTTTAGTAGAAGGAAAAATGCTTTGTTACTATTAATGAGCAGATATTATTAGTGCCTTTTGGATTTCTTCTGCTAATCAGCTTTTCTTCTGAGAACCTTAGTTTTTTATACAACAGCCAGTTAGTAATCTGGTATTTTCGTAGGGATCTGCTAGGATTGATATCGTTAATTAGTGCACAGGATTACATAAAAATTTTTTATGTGTGAGGTAGAAGAAATAAAGGAACAGTGGAAAATTCATTAATATCCAAACTTTGAGTTTTTTATAGCTGTTCATTTAACTTTTGATATATAGCTTTGTTATTTTAGCATTTTATCAGGCAGTTTTAGCATTTGTCTTATAAATAGGGTAGCGGTTATTAGAAAGAATTGTTCGATGCGTTTTCAAGCAATGAAAAGAAAACAAATTATTTGTTATTTGATTTTATCAGTAGCATCATTCTTCTGAACTTTTATCATACTGAGGCGTACAATTAGTGAACTGGATTTTATTGGATCATAAATTTATCTAATTATTCTCATCTAGTTAAATGTCTAAATTTTAGGCAAAATTAGTCTTACAACAGGAGCTCGATAATGTCAGCCTATTGAAAAACTCCGTCTGTCAGTTGAGAGAACTTTCTACCAACCCAGGTGTATCGTCTCCCATCGATGCACCCCCTACAGACCCCGATGTGTGGCCACCTCCAGCTCCTCTCCCGAAAAAAATTTTTTCTAACGCTCGTAGTAAGGTTGCTGGAAGAAAGTCAAATGTGCCGCAGAATAGTGATAAACAAAGTAAAAACTCAGTCCGCAAGTCAACGAGTCAAATGAATATTGCGTCCTCCAAAAGGGCGAGTTCCGTTGGATGCATCCCCAAAAAGGAAGCCACAAATAACGAAGAAGTGGCCGCAGAACCCAAAAGTGTACGCAACAAATTTTGCACCATTAATTTTTTTCATAGTTCTGTAAATTACTGAGATTTTTTTTTTGTTTTCATTAGTTTTTGTAAAATTTTTACTCAAATTTCTGATCTATTTTTCGAATGGGCTTTTGCTGCATAATGTCGCATTAGGTGGCCCACCTGAATAAGTTCCTATAAATTATTTGATAAAAAATTTTTCTGTGATGTTTTTCATTATATGTTTATTTGTTTCTGTTAGGCATAATTTAACTGAAGCCTGATTCAGGAACAACAGGACGAGGAAAAAATATTTGATGGAAAAGGCTATGATAAAGATTTAGTCGAAACCATTGAACGAGACATTGTTCAACAGCAACCTAACGTACACTGGAATGATATTGCTGGTTTAGAAGTTGCTAAGAAGCTTTTACAGGAAGCTGTCATACTTCCTACAGTCATACCACAATTCTTTAAAGTAATTCTTTCTTTTTTCTTAAGAAAGAATCCCTGTTAGATTTTTATGGAGTGATCGTTTGATTTTTAAATAAGGGTATCCGTCGACCGTGGAGGGGCGTCTGCCTAGTTGGTCCACCTGGGACAGGTAAAACCCTATTGGCAAAGGCTGTGGCTACCGAATGTCGCACAACGTTTTTCTGCGTTTCATCTTCAACATTAACATCAAAATATCGAGGAGACTCCGAAAAGCTAGTTAGGCTTTTATTTGAAATGGTATGCAGTTGAATATTGTTCTGTTTATTAGATCTTGTGTACAAATTTTTCCTTTTCCTTTTCACTACGCTTTAGTTTTTGTCATTTTTCAAACGAACTTTTTCATTCGTCTTTTCAATTTTTTTACTTTTAAAACTTTGCTAAATTTTTCGACAGTTCAGACCTTGAGATTTGGTGAAGTTCAAAACTTTGTCGGTGTTATAAGTTTCTCCTTGCTCTTTCCAGGCTCGGTTTTACGCTCCGTCGACCATATTTATCGATGAAATCGATAGCTTGTGTAGTCGGAGGGGAGTAGATTCGGAACATGAGGCTTCGCGCCGCGTAAAATCTGAGCTTCTAATCCAGATGGATGGTTTGTGATCCTGCATATTCACCTCATGAGATGTTTTGTTGTAGTTGATTAACTAGTTTAAATTTAGGGTGTTCTGCTGACACCGAAAAGACAGTGCTTGTTTTGGCTGCAACCAATTTTCCTTGGGATCTAGATGAAGCGCTAAGAAGGAGACTTGAAAAGCGTGTTTATATTCCACTTCCTGACAAAAACGGAAGGATAACTCTTTTGAAGCTGGCACTTGCAGAAGTTGCTGTGGCAGAAGATGTAGATTTGGAAGAGGTTTTGTAATTTTTGTTCTTGGAGATTCAATTACAAGTCATATCTAACCTAGCACATTTTCTAATTGTCGCTCCTTCTAGGTAGCTGATCGTCTTTCGGGTTATTCTGGGTCTGACATAACAAATGTTTGTCGTGAAGCAGCTATGATGAGTATGAGGGCTCGCATTGCAAATTTGAGTGCTGACGAAATCAGAGCTCTTTCCAAAGAAGACATTGATCTTCCTATAACAGCTAACGATTTCGAACTCGCTATTAGCCACACATCCCCATCTGTTTCACAGGACGATATACATAAGTATGAACAGTGGATGCGTGAGTTTGGAGCAACATGAATCTCTATAGCTTATGAAGTCTTCTGCCTTTGTTGTCATTATTGTCGTGTTTCACAGTAACCTTTAAAAGCTTATTTCCCACTGCAAAATATGATTTCTGCTCGAGCCTCCCTCCCCCGTTTTATCTTTTGTGCGAATATAACTGTGAATGAATAGGAACCTTATTGAAAAATATTTGTAAGAAGTTAGAAATGTGCTACTTACTCAGTTGAACCCTCTCATTCTCTCACATTTTTGAAAGCAATGAGTGAAAGGAACCTGATGACTTTGGAAGCAATCGTGAGCATTAATAAACAAACTCTTTCATTTATTGCTGCGGCCGTTTCCCAAGGATATTTTTTTTTGAGGGATTGTTTTGAAATATAAAAGCTTTTGAAATGGGTGTGTAATCATTCTGCTGTTTTATACAATAATCTGTTTGGTATTTTAACGCGGTTCTTATTGGTGTGGGTGAATATAAAATTTCTCATAACTTTTTCAAACCCTCAAACCCATATTTGGTGCGCCTGAGAGGTATTACAAAACCACTGATCAGATATACACAGGTCCCTTATAGGTGTAATGGGATTGCAAAAGCACTTTGTTCAAGGATTTCTTAACAAAAGAGCTAATAGTCACTGTTGATTAGGGGATAAGACTGTCACTTTCAAAGAGCTGAAATCACATCGACTTTGTTGTTACCAGCGTTTAACAGTTTTATCACTTGAATGCTTATCCATAGTCATAGAATAAATAAACGGAAAACGGCAATTCACTTTTCTAAAGCCACATTTCTCTTCATGCAACCGGCAGCGATCATGACAGTCTCATAAATTTTCAATTCAGACCTACTGAGAAAATAAGAAGTGTTTCCTGATACAGGAAATGGAAAACATTCACATATGATGGTCATACTTATAGATATATGTATCGTTTTTGAAGACATGAAATAATATACCGGTCCCAGTATGATATATATATATATATATATATATATATATATA